CCCATAAGGTGGAGGAGAAGCTTGACGGAGGCGCCGGAGGGAGAGCCGGCCGCGATGACGACCCGAGCCATCTATGGGCTGGCGACGGACACGGAGAAGACCCCGCCCCTGGTCGCGACCGCGCAGAGCTTGGCCGGAGCCTCGCAGAAGAACATGGTCATGAGGCAGGAGATCGCAGCCGCGTTGAAACAAGCGTCCATACGCGGCGGGGTGACCCAGACCGTGCCGAGCTCCGAGGGGACAGGGCGAGCGTCGAGGTCGACGGCAACCCCGCGCGAGAAGGTGGAGAGCATACAGGCATGGAAGATGGACCCAGGACGGGGGATGACAGTGATGGGGCGCGTACCTGCAGGACGGAAGCGACTCCGGCGAGCGCCGGTCCGGCGGCCAAACCCTGGGGCGGGCAGAGCAGCCCCCACGCCGGCAGCAGCTATGGTGTCTAAACCTACGGGGGCGGCTGCGGCGGCAGGGGTAGGGACGGCGGCGGCGGAGGCGGCGGGCGGGTCGCCCGGAGCGTCGCCACCAAGCTCACTCATTGTCCCCGAACCATCTGATCCATTGCATCGTGCCGTTTAAGTGTTGTTGTCCCCTTTAAGGAGTCAATATTCACTTGTTTCCCTATGCCAAAATTCCTCTTGACAAATTCTTGTGCATATGGATTCCTATCTGAATTTTGGTGCAAGCTGCTTCAATTTAGCGGCCAAGCTTATATTGACGATATTGTTATGTCATGCATTCCTTGAACCTGAGTTGACGCTTGAAATTTTCTGTTGGGCGTAGCAAAATACCGTTTATACATGCGTACTTATGATATGCGAGCATGTGAAGGATTACGGGCCTGTTCTGAAGTCCTCTAACTCCAAACTTCTCTAATTCCCAGCCTGAAGCGAGCCCGAACGCCGTAGCTCCGTGAAGCTGAAATCCAAGAAGCTACCGTGGGCTGTAGTTCATTTTTCTGAAGCGAGACATTCCCAGCTCCACGTTTTGGTGAATCTGAAGTTCGGATTATTTACGGCCGTAATGCCACCGCCCAGAAAAACGTTTCGATCAGCTCCTCCTCCCTGGATCCCGCACGCACCCGCTCGTCACATCTCCCCTCTCCCTCGTCCCTCCTCTCGAACCCTCACCGCCGCCGTTACCGCCGCCACGCCCGGCTGCCCCCGTCGCCGGCCAGATCCTCGCCCCCGACTACAGATCCGGGCATCCAAGGTTGTTTCCCGCCGGATCCCACCGTCGCCGCCGCCCGTCGCGCCTGCTACAAGGAACTGCGACCCCATGGCTCGGAGCCCCGACGCCATTGACGCCCGAGAGAACCTCGGAGTCAGGAGCAGCACCAAGACGACCGCGCTCCCCTTCTCTTCTTCCCCTTCCCTTCTCTTCTTGCCGAGCCAAGAGCCGCCGTGAAGCCTGCCGAGCCGCCGCATGTCTGCAGTTCCGCCCGAGATGGGCTCCTTCAGCCAGCCCAAGGTGCCAACCAGCAGGCCTTCCGCGCCCCAGCTGGGCTGCCAGCTCATCCAAGCACTGGGAGAAGCTGCTGCAGCTCCAGAACGTTTTTTTGTTCGCCACCTAAAGCAAGAAGCGACCCAAGAAGCTGGATATGGGAAGTTTTGGAGAAGCTAGATGGTTTCAGAACAGGCCCTACTTATCTAGGATCTTGAATTCTTTTTCTTGGATACCGGCATGTTTCATGTGTCCAGAGGTCCAAGCATTCATGATAGATTAAATAGTGACCGTCTCATTTTGTTAAATAAATATATGATTTGTTACACTTAGTGCGAAGCTAATTCTATGGAGGGGTCGGTTTCTTCCGGACAAAGTAGTTAAAGAGAGAAAGAAAAGCGGCAGAGATGGCTTAGATTTGTTGTCCGCGTCTAGGTAGGAATTAGAAAAAGTTGTGAAAAAAAAAAGAAAAATGAGCCCACTCAAGGTTTTTTTTCGAGAGTACGCAAATTGCGTACCATAGCTTTATAGAAGGAGAAAAAATTAGTACATGACATCTACCACTCGCTGCGAACAACGAGCGTAGCACGACACCACATCCGGCTATCCTCAGGACAGACACACACAACAACACAACTATAACACGAAAAAACCTGCCCAAAACCGAAACACGTCGCCGCGTCTTGATCGACGCCGAACACCTCCGAAGAACAGCAACTCCAGCTTCCTTTGGATTCATCCGCGACGACCATACATAGCGCCGGAGGTGAGCGATCAGGGCCACGACGAACACCGGAGGGGCGCCAACAGGAGCTCAATCTCCTCGCACGATGCTCCCAACAGAGAAACGACGTCGCAGACGCCACCATCATGCCGCTCCAGAGGACCAAGGCTTTCGCCCGGAGACAACTGCCAACACCAAGCACGAGGGAGATGGCGACACACTCGACGTCGCCTCTTGAGAGGGGAACGACACCCGCGGGTGCCATCGACGCCGGCCGGCCAAAACCGGACAGGATTTTCATCCATAATGTTGTGCATCTCCACCCCGACAAGGTACCGGGCAGCACCGTTCCTGAAGCCTCGCACCGCCGTCACCGCAGCAAATCCACCGAAGCCGTGTAGCCGTGGTCCAACACCACCCGCACTGCCGAGAGAGCACGAACCAGACCTCCACCAACATCGCCGTCGAGAAGCAACCACATCCTCCAAGCGGAGCAAAAGCCAGATCCGCTCCATCGGCCTTCATCGACACCGAGAGAGTGCCGCCAGATTGGATCTGGCCCGCCCCTCCAACCTCACTCCGGTGCCATCTCCACCGGTGCATCGCCGCGACCCGCGATCCCCTCACACGGAGGCGGCCGGAAGCCCGCTGCACGCCAGGACACCTTCCTGGCAGTGCCATCTCGGCACCGCCGCCCCCAGGGCCGATCCAACGCCGCCGCCACCGCCGTTGCTAGCGCTCCTCCTGCAGCCACCTACCAGTAGCGCTCCTCACCAGGATCCGGCTAACGCCCTCACCGTGCCCCTGCAATGCCCCCAACCGCACCGCGAGCCCCCGCGCCGCCCGCAAAAAGAACGCCGCGCCAGACCAAGCCGCCCGCGCCTAGGCAGCGCGCCGCCAGCCGCCGCGCCGCCCGCTAGACGCAGCTCCCCGCGCGAAGGAGGTGTGTCGGGGCGCGCCACCCCTGCCCGCCGCCTTTGACGGCCGGGCGCCGCCACCACCGCCGGCGCTGGTGACGGCAGCGGCCGAGGAGCCACGGATCTGGAGCTCTGCCGCGGAGGGATGGGGGCCTCTGGGGCCGCACACGCATGCGACCCGGAAGGCGGAGGGGAGGGGGCGGGGGGATAGGGCTGTGGAGGTGGAGGAGGAGGTCGCCGGCGAGGGGCTGGGGAAGAGGAGATCGGCGGCGGGGTTGGTTGAAGCCGACGCTTTTTTCGGTCGCCTACTATGGCTGTCGGAGCTGCTGGAAGTAATTGAGCCCACTCAAGGTCATACCTTAAGAACTTGCGTTGTTGGAATACACATGAGGCTACCACTTTATACTTTTTTTCTTCTTCTCTTGACACGCTTTTCAAGTAGATGACAAGTGTCAAATGTATTGTGTAGACCTTGTGGAGCTCCATCTTCCATCCATGATAATAATTATGATGAGAAAAAATGAGCTTGCTCAAGTTGATGCATTGAGAATTTGCGTTGTGAAAACCCATGATGTCTCACCACTTTATGCCTTGGTGGATGGATGACATCAATGCCTTGAAAACTTGCGTTGTTGCGAGGCACATGATCTCTCGCCACCATATGCCTTGGTGGTTGCATGCCATCAATCGTCATCTCTTTTTCTACATGCTTTTCAAGTAGATAACAAGGATCAAGTTGTACTTTATAGACCTTTTGGAGCCCCACACCGTTCATCCATGATAAAAAATTATGAAGAGAGAGAAATCCAGCTTATTAAAGATAATGCCTTGAAAAGTTGCGTTGTTGAAAAGCACATGGTGCCTCACCACTTGATGCCTTGGGGAGGCATGCCATCAATTGCCATCACCTTTCTTCTTCTTCTTTTGATACATTTTTTGGGTGGATGACAAGATCAAGAGCAATGATGTAGACCTTCGGAGCCCCAGTTTCCATTCTTGGCAGTGATAAATAAGCTTATGAATGACCGTGAAAACCTAATTCAAAGTTAAGGTTTTACCTGCTGCAACATCCAGGCTTAAAAAGGATGAAAAATAAAATCAGACGATTCACTCCAACAGTTGAACTAGCTATAGCTGATCAAACTGTTGGATGAGACACCAGTGGTTGTCATTAGAGTGGGGTGTTAGCGATGAACAAAGCACTTAGATTACATATGCGTACGCTACTAGAAATCAAATTCCTAGAATGAAACTAGGTAGTAGCTACTACGTAGTTGAAACCGAGCGTGCCCCCAAAACGAGCTACCTAGCTTTTTACTCGCATGTGCATGTGCGCGGAGCTCCACTCACATTTCGGTACATCTGCAGAGAAATTAAGCATCCCAGTGCATTGCCAAATAGGGTCTACGGCTGGGCGGACGCAACCTCGCCGCGGCTTCGCTTGTCCATCGTAACTGCCATGAGAAATCATGCATGATACGGTGGGTTTGCAGCTCAGGCTCGAGCTCGACACGTCGTTGGGTGCTGGGCCGTCGCTGTCCCTCGCTCGCATGCAGGCTCCAACACGACCCGCTCGAGTTGCTCGGCGATGCGTTGCAGGCTCGGCTACTTAAACAGCGAACACCATAGCCCTCCGATACGACCCCCCGCCGGCCAGCAACAGTCGCTCGCATACCAAGCTAGGGATCGAGCGTAGGGGAAGCACCTCCCACACCAAGCAACCAGCAAAGGTGAGTCCGGCCCTCTCCCTCCCTCTGTTCCCGCCGGACGGCCATTTTGCTCTGTCCTCGTCGGATCTACGCCGTGATGTCTCGATCGTTTCTTTCGTGATGGAAAATAGACCAGGGAACTAAGTACTCAGTACTGACACTGCGTTGCTGCTGATCTCCTCGTCCTCGATCGCTAGGTTGGCTGGATCCATGGACTCCCCACAAAAAAAGCTTGGATCCATGGACGGCGAGCTGCTGCCTGTGAGTGCGAGTGCGACCGTGGCCAAGAAGACCTTGGCCGCTCGTCTGTTCCAGGATCATGTCCTGCTGCTCAGCGCTTGGGCGCTCTTCACGGCCTTCGTCCTCGTCGTCTCCTGCGCATTGGGCTACGCAATCGCCTACGCACTCGACCACTTCCACGTCCCCTGCAGCCAGGTGACTACTACTACAACTACAAGTCTACAGGCCGTACTTGTGCTTCTACTGCATTTCGAATCTCCGATCGAACCATGCTTTGTCCTCTCCAGGCCTCCTTCTTTCTGCGGTGCCACAAGCCGACGGACGCGGAGGCCGCCGAGGTGACCGCCCTAGTGATCGGGATGCTGTGCTGCGCTACACTCCAGGCGGCCGCGGCGGCGCTGGCGCTGCTGCTCCCGTGCCGCCGTCCCTGGGTCCGCTGCGCCCTCGCCTACCTCGCCCTCGCGCTCACCATCGCCGGCCACTGCATGTACGCAGTCTTCCTCAACCACTTCGCCAACCCAGGAGACCTCTTCTTCAAGATCTGCTGGACCGTGGCCTTCGTCGTCCTCGAGGCGGATGACATGATCTGCTTGCTGGTCCTCCTGCTCCTAGCTTCCAAAGAATAATATGTATAGAGTGCATTATGCTGTGACAATTGATCTACGAGTAGTAGTCTACTTACCGTTAACTGGACAGATCTCCCATCACTTCATCGACTAGTACTAGTTATTTGGGTAATGCGGGTCATGTAATTAGCCTGGGTTGTGGCCGTCTGATCGAGATACAGCTATGGAGTCTTGGATGTAGTATTCGACCATTGGCTATATATATATCTATATCCATATGAGCAAACATCAGTTACAGCTTCGGTATAATTTCTTGAGATGAGCTTCTGCATAATTGATGTTGGTGAAATTGTTCCATTTTATATGCACGTACAGGGTCGTTTCTTGTTGGTTTGTCATTCACCCCGGCAATTATCAAACTATCAAGGCAAAATTTAACGTGGTTCCTCCTGCGTCCTCTTTTCATATGAGAGGGAAGAGGAACCATATTAGAACTGCTCAACTATCAATGTGGCGGAATAACTAGTCCATTGGGGTTTTTGCCCGACTTTTTTGGTGCTGAGTGACCTGACCCGGCCTTAATAAAAGATGTAATTTTGTAGCCTAAAATCTTAAAAGTGCACGCGCACCTTTTCAAAAGAACGAGCTGCCGGCTCGTGACCGCACGATCTCGATCCTGTCGTCCACTTGGTCGGGGCCAGACTGCTGCGCGACACGCGCTGCCCTGCTTCTTCGCGGATCCGGCTTGCCTGCTCCCTTCCAATGCTCCCATCCGTGCTCCCACTTTATCGTACGGCTATCTTTTTTCCTTTTTCTTTTCTAATCTAATCATCTCCCCCCTGATTTTAAGAGGATGGGGCCGGGCCTTATTTTGTTCCAATCAAATCAAGCCACGTACACGGGAGCACGGATGAGCACAAGTGCGGGGAGCAGGCAAGTCTCATCCCTTCTTCGTTGCCGCCCCTCGCCTTTCCTTCCTTCCCATGTCGGCTTTGGTGGATGGATAGCCGTGAGCATATGAGGGATAAATCCACTGGAATCTTTTTTTTCTTTGGTGGATGCCAAGATGTTTCATGGTTGAGAGCTCTCTACTTCTGATCGGTCGATTTTCCGTGTGTTCAGGAGTAACTAAAAAGTGGCTGCCTTACTTAGTTAAAGCAACTCCACGATTGCTTGTTGCAGCCTCAGCAAGTGTGATTTCTTTGCAAACAGCCGGCTCACGTGATCCACGTAGGAATAACACTGGTTTAGTTTCTTCAGGGGTCTAAGGTGACATAGTTCATGGAGATGTGTATCAATGTCATCAATTATAATCACTTTTTCTAGTGTTGATGGTCCTTTGCAGTAGATGATAAGGATAAAACCGAACCGTGTAGAGCTTTGGAACCCGCCTTCCATTCTCAATAAAGATAAAATATGCTGACAAAGCATGTAGTCAAGATCATGGCAAATCGGTAGTGGCACCCATCCTACATATGTCTCATCTTGCAAACCGACGAGATGGTGTGGTAAATAGAAAGTTAGAAACATATACTCCCTCCGTTCCGATTTACTCGTCGTGGTTTTAGTTCAAAGGAAGTACATCTGTTGACCATGATCAAAATGTTGTATGAAAACCACACTAGTCGTCAGAGTTGGTGTGAGTGTGGGGGGAGCTAGTTACCGCAAATGGAATGGTCGATGGATAGCTGGCATTAGTTACTAGCTAGCGTAAAAGCACGCGGCCTACATTAGATGCGTATATGCTACTAGAAGTTGCACTACTAGTTGAGAGCACTCGATGCCAAGGAGTGTGTGTGTTGAGCTTCACTCCACTTATACTCCCTCCAGTCATTTTTATTCTGCATATAAGAATTGTCTGCAATCAAACTTCACAAAGTTTGCCCGTATTTATATGAAAAAATATTAACATCTACCATGCTAAAGTTATACATTATGAAACTTTAAGTCATGACGCATCTATTGGTATTGATTTCACATTGTGAGTGTTGGTATTTTTTTCTATAAAGTTGGTCGAACTTTACGATGCTTGACTTCAGACAAATCTTAGTATATGCGAATTAAAAAGAACCGGAGGGAGTATTTATGTACATCCAATTGCACATTCAAACTTATTATCCTTCCAATCAGGTCACCTCACTCGCAGCAGGGAATTGATCTAGTAGTGTACTTTTTGTTAACTGGATAGATCCCCCAGCACTCATCGACTAGTACTAGTTATTCGGGTAATGCGGGTCAAATAATTAGCCTGGGTTGTGGCCATCTCGTCGGGATATACAGTATTGCGTGTGGATGAACAAGCTATGCTATGGAGTATTGGATGTAGTATTCGACCTTTGGCATCGGTGAATTTCTTGAGACGAGCTTCTGCATATAATTGATGTTAGTGAAATTGTTACTCCATTTTACATGCATGTACCAGTGTCGTTTCTGATGTGAAGCATTGTGTTTGTCATTCATCCGGGCAAGTATCAAACTATCAATGTGGATGAATAACTAGTCCATCAGAGTTTTTGTCCGGATTTTTCGGTGCAGTGTGACCTGACCCGACACTCTTGGATGGGGGGTTGCGGCGATAATCCTACGTCAACGGACAAACAACGGACCTTTATGGGCTC